GGGTCGAATTTGAATTACCCATAGTCAAAGTATTAGCTCCATTATGCTATAATACAAACTTTATTTATTCTATATGAACTTTCTTAGTAATGACCAAATTTCCTTTTATCTCTTCTTCGAATTTTAAAAAGCATAATTGTGAAGAAATGCCAAGAATTTAGTTTACATGTGGGAGCATTTATTTATTTCTGAATCACCATTACAGCCTTTGTTTTGTTTTTACTTGCCCTGGTTTTAGCGCCGATTAGTATTCACAATAGTACTCTACGGTGTTGAGCAATTATAAAAATTAATTATTATTATACCCATATCCGAATTACTCAATTTATTCTATTACATGACTATATTTTAATCAAGGGTCATGTTATGAACAAACTGTTAATCATACATATCGGTATGACAAAGTGTTTGCTATGGCACGATGTGTACGTTTAGGCAATAGTTTAACATTGACATTGATTGTAATGCATGATAATATGTTTATGGTCTTGCTTTTGTCAATTTTTGGAGCGAATAAATATTGATATAAGAAATTTTAACAATGACGTTAATATTTTTCATAGGTTGTTTTGGGAAAATTTGTTCTTGAAAAATATTTTTCTCAAATATGGTTACCTTAAGATATGGTATTTATAGACATTTACTATGTAAATAAATAGTATAACCAATTTTAAAAACAATGTTTAAATTGCTATTACGAACAAATAACTGACAAATATTATCGAATACATATCGTCTTAGCAAACTGATATAATTTAGACGATCGACCAATTCAACTATAGCAAACTATATTTACTCAGAAATTGAATTTTATTTTTTATTTCATCCAACAAATTTATGTATGTCTTCATTCCGCTACTTTCTGAACATCAGAAAATACAAAAAAATTTCTGCTAGAACTTTATAAAATATGATAGATAATTATGAATCAAGTGGTGGCATGGATCTGCTAATCGGAGCTATGCTCTATATTCTATGCTCTATGCTCTATGCTCTATACTCTATACTCTATACTCTATACTCTATACTCTATACTCTATACTCTATACTCTATACTCTATACTCTATACTCTATACTCTATACTCTATACTCTATACTCTATACTCTATACTCTATACTCTATACTCTATACTCTATACTCTATACTCTATACTCTATACTCTATACAATTCTCTTCGCCGGTCATCAAGTTTTAATAAAAAGAGACTGAGATGATGGTCAGCTACATGTTGAGGCTGCTCGAGAAAGAGTGGGAAGAATTTGGAGTGGTAAAAAATATGAAAAAGACCAAATACACGTCTTTAGGAAACGACGATGATAGTCATTTCGATATTGCTATGGACAAAACAATAAAACACTGCTCCAAATTTAATTAACTTGGAGTAACCCTTTCCTCAAATTTTTCGTAAACTAAAATAAATTCAGTTTTTGTTTGTTTTATAACATACATATATGTAGATTTAGATATAGGTTAGTTTAGGTTTACTGGGGTTTGAGATCATGTTTGATCCTTCACTCGGGGGCCTTGAGCCCCTTGCCATACCCCTGTTATCTGTTATTGTTGTACCAAACCTTCCTCTCATTCTTTCTTTGCATTAAAGCACTTCCAGCTCTTTGCAAAGTTCCCGATGTCGCTGACGTTGGCTTCTGCTGCTTCTTCTAGTCCTTGAGTACCAGAACGGACAGTAGCAGAGCTGGTGCTCTATGGTTCCTTCTTCCTCTCTGCATTCTCTGCAATAGTCGTCGTTGTAAATCTTTCATCTCACGAGGTTTACCCCCGTGGGGCAGTTTCCAGTGATGACACCGACAATTATGCGTACTAGGTTCTTTTTGTGCTCTAGAAGTTGTTTTGTCATTTTGCTATCTACCAGTAGCAATAGTCTTCGAGCGGTAGCACAGCCTCACGGTGTTGCCACATCTCTTGCATGCTTGGCTTTGATGGTAGTTCCTATAGCTTCATTGAGTATGTTGATCGTCACAAGTGGTGCGTCTCCATCTGCCCTGGTCCCCTCTTTGGCGAGTCTGTCTGCTTCTTGATTGCCGGTCCACCACATTGCTGTGGCCTGGCACCCAACACAGAATAGCCCCGCCTTGACGCAGCCAGGACAGTGCTTCTCAGCAGTCCATCACAATTTTCGATCTCACTGATTTTTTGGAGATGCCTTTTAAAGCGCCCAAGTTGTTAGAGTACCATATCCCCTGTTGGTTAAACATATCCCTATTGGTTTATCAGCGATCTTCTCTCGTATACAACTGACCGCTTTCTTTATGGCGTAAACTTCTGCTTGTAGAACATTACTGCCGATAGCCTTAAAGATCGTCGGATGTTTAGTTCCTCTTAGATATAGATGTAACGAACTCGTTTACTCTAGGAGCCTCTAGTGATTTTAAACTGCTTTTATCGATAGATATAATATTGGCTCCAAGCCTCTTATAATGCTTATATTTATTAGAGGCTCAAAAGGCACTAATTCATCCTTTAAAAGTGCAAGGTTCTGTTGCAAAATTGTGCCACACAATCGCAACAAGGGTATACTTCGTTTCGTTATTTCCGTCGCATTTTCATAGGTAAATGATATCTTAGCAGCTTAGCAGTATTATGCAATTGTGCAAGTGAGGAGGCTTGCAAGGATTTTTCCATTAAAATTTGTATATTTTTTATATAATATTTTTCAAAAATACATTTTTTGTAATATTTTTGCTTATATTTTGCTGAGGGTTTTTTTTCAGTAGGTCTTTTTCCACATTACGGATATAATCTTCAGAACTTTTAGGTTATGCTAGTGGAAGGTTAGTGTCCATAAAGAAAAGAGTAACTACATTATACCTATGCTACTCACATCTTTAATACTCCAAATTCGATGTACTTTATTCAGTGAGTGGGCAGTTGTTGCTTAATGGATCATCTAGATTTGATACAATTATTCGCATTGATAAAATGAATGATTTATTATAATAATTGGTCTAATTGCGTTAATGATAGCCTTGATGTGAACTCACCTTGGGTGTATTAAAATTATATTGGCAGTTAAATATTATATTTCTGTAACCTTTATAACTCTGAACTGGAATTCGTTCCCACATGAGAGTATACTGATAAATTGTTAATAACAAAGATCTCTAGAGATAAAAGGATGGAACTCGGGATAAAATATTGTAGAGCTTTGGCCAAGCAATTTTGTGAACTTACAATTTGTCTCTGCATCTTTACACCTACTTTTTCCGATTCTAGGCCCATCTATAAACGTAATTGATGTTCTATTTATAGTTTTAGTTTGCTCTTATACAGTCCTTAGTTTATACACTCCAAGTTTATACAAACCAAGTAATGTTTGACTGGCACAGTGTTTATCACCTTAGTCAGAAATTGTAGCAGGTTTTAGCTAATCGGATTAAAATCAGTTATACAGTGTTTACATTACACATTAGACATTAGGACACATTAAACATTAGGAAAAGAACACATTTCCCCAGTTACTCCTAAATAAACAAGCTTCTATAATATTTACTTAGGTTTACCTTCCTTTAAGTAGTTCTGGCCGCAAAAACAATCCAAAAAAATACCTGAAAAGATGACGGAATTACTACTGACTGAGATCAAATAGAAATAGACCAAATTAACGGATGTTATTGATAAAGCACTTGAAGTAAAATAGACATGTAGTACGGCCAGACATGTAGACCGAAGAACAGATGGGCAAAACTACTATTGGAAAGGAAACCTATACGAACGGACAAACCGCACACGACATGAAGAGATGGCATAAAAAATCAGAAGGATATTCTCTGGATGAGGGAAGCAACCCACAGGCATAAATGGAAAACCGTGATCGCAGAATCACACATAGATATTTCGATGCGCCGATGCCGTTAACATTTATCTAAATGTGACTAGGGCTTCATAAATGTAGCTTCTTTTACTTTTAAATGATCAGAACTAATTTGCTCAGATTGACATTTAGTTCTCAATTTTTTTACGAGAGGTCTTGTTAGGAGAGGTCTTTCAGATCTGTTTGTGTTAGGTTTAAGAAGAAGGCTTTTACCCCTAATCTGGATGACTAGGTCTACTAAAAGTGGGAAAGTTGAATTGAGCAAATATTTCTGGATATATGTAAACAAGTACCGTTTGATCGAAAAAAACGTCTAGGGAATGACAATGAATAATAATTTTGTCGAGGCCATTCTCTACTAGTAACTTACTATAAATTGGCATAAAACTTGTCAAAAATTATCTCTAATGTTAGGGAGATTAAAAAAGGATAGATTGTTTCCAGACACACAAATCTATTTCCAAAAAACTCTTTTTTTTAGAGTAAATAGATAGCTTTATGTATCTGGAAATTCTATCCTTTTTTTAATCTTTTTATAATTAGTACTAGCGTGTACCCGCGACTTCGTTCGCGTCGAATTAATCATTTGTAATGGTGATGATAAAGCAAAGCAAGACAGTTTAAGCAGAACCGTGATTACTCAATGGTCATATTTGATGAAACACCCTGTATAAATTTTTAAAAAATCTTAAAATATGTAAAATAACAAAATAAAATATACGTGTTTAAGAGTTTTTCCGAAAAACTCACCGGTTTATAAATAAAAAATATTCTAATATTTGAGGGGTGGTTCCACCCCCTTAGAATTCAAGTTTCGAAAAATCCCTTCTTATCGAACATCTACACCCTAAAGTTAATCCGTTTCCAAAAATCAGCTTTTTACGTCAAGGAGTTTAAGCAGGATCGTGATTAATCAATGACCAGATTTTTCGAAACACCCCGTATACGTTTTTAAAAAATCTTAAAATATGTAAAAAAAGAAAATAAAATATACGTGTTTACGCGTTTTTTCGGAAACTTGAGCGTTTTTTATATAAAAAATATTGCAATATTTGAGGGGTGGTTTTCACATGTTCTGATAGTATTAGTTACTATTAATTGTATGTTTTAATGTATCCCTAGTTTTTCAAAATAATTATGATTTTAAGTGAAGAAAAAATAATACTCACGAAATTTCTTCACCCTTGCAGATAAACATAAACCACCAAACCAAATTAAACTGATAACTAATCTGTAAGCCATACTGTATCTTAACTATATAATCTTAACTAACCGGTCTTTAAAAATACACTAAAATACTTCTGTAGATATGCTTAGTTCTTATAGAATAGATCAATTAATTGTGGGGTCTAATTGAACTGTGTGGTCCTTTAAAACGAATCTCTTGTATATGCGCGAAGTTTTCGCGTTGACATTTTTTATCGTTAACGATTGGGGGAAATACGAACTATGAATATTAGTTCAAATAAGTAATTAAATTTTAATATGCCTCGATTTCATTGTAATGAAGCATTTTTTATACTATTCTTGTTCTTAAACAAATTAATGAAAAAAGAATGGGAATTTTGTTTGAAGTTTAGGAGAGGTTTAAATTGTTTCAACTGTCATTATTTGAACATTAAATCTCAATTATTAAATTTAAATAGAGCAGTTTATCTATGCTATGAAAATAGATTTGTTATATATTCAGAAAAATATTTTAATAATACGAGGTGGCGCCTCTCATACGACGCGGAGGCTCAAATGGGAACGACTTTGTTTGTATTGAAATGATATTTTGTGAGCATATGTACAGGGTGGGACAAATTCGACGCTTTTAAATGGAAACACCCTTTTCTATAGGAGATAGACGAAAATTAATATGGGTGTCTGGAGCTCAATTTTCACCAAAAACATGATGGTAAAAACCGCACATCAATATCTGTTACCGTTTCGGAGTTACGGGGTGTTTTTCAAAAATGTGCATTTTTAACAAATCGCTGTAACTTTTTTGCTATGGAAAATTTTGTATTTATATGAAAACATTTCTAAAGCACCTTTTTACGTAGAATTTAATGGTTTAAGTATAATTTTTTTAAAAATTAATAATTTAAGAGTTATCAACAGAAAATAATTTTTATTTGGGACACCCTCTATATTTTTAATTAACTGAAAAGAATTTAAAATTACCTTTCCAAAAATATAGCACACTTGATATTTTGTTATAATCCCCTTCGAAATACAGAATTTTTAAAAATTCGCCACTTTTAACTAGTAGGCTTTGGACCCCTTATTGATGATATGCCCTTAATGGAACTCGGAAAAATATTTTTCCAGCAAGACGACTCACCGCCTCTGAACGCTGAAGTTATCACCAAATTTTTGCAGCCAATTTCAAGAATAATTGAATAGCTAACCAAGATCCCAGCCGTTGGCCGTCGAGGCCGCCTGACTTAGTGCCCATGGATCTAATCCTATGGATATATTTGCGGAAGAATAAAGGTTCCTTATTCTTCCGTATAATCTAGACAAGAATTAGAAATACTTAGCAGTTATGGGAGGGTATCTTTCACCTCCACTGAGTTAATAAATTCCGCGAGAAATGTTCAAAAACTGCCCCGTGTGTCCATAACAGAAGACAGTCGATATGTCGAACACCTGTAGCAAAATCTTATGTCCTGGTTTGCTATTTATTTTTATTGTTATTAGATATAGTTTAAATGTGTTGATGTTGGTTAAATATATCTTAAATTTTTATAAAATTCTGCATCTCCCATAGCAAATATTATTTTCGTTTTAATTGATGCTCACAGCTAGAATTTTTTTGCATTACAGCCGGTGCCGTTCAAAGCCTACTTATTTAAAAAGGGCGAATTTTGATATACTCTATATCTCGAAGAGGAATCGAGCAAAATATCAAGTGTGTTATATTTTTAGAAAGGTAATTTTGAATTCTTTTCAACAAATTAAAAATATACAGGGCGTCCCACATAAAAAATCAAATTTTCTGTTGATAATTCTTAAATTATTAATTTTAAAAAAACTATACTTAAACCATTAAATTCTACGTAAAAAGGTGCATTGGAAATGTTTTCATAAAAATACAAAATTTTCCATAGCAAAAAAGTTACAGCGATTTGTTAAAAATGCATATTTTTGAAAAACACCCCGTAACTCCGAAACGGTTACAGATATCGATATGCGGTTTTCACCATCATGTTTTTGAGAAAAATTGAGCTCCAGACACCAATATTATATTTTGTCTATCTCCTATAGAAAAGGGTGTTTCCATTTAAAAGCGTCGAATTTGACCCACCCTGTACAGGGCATATTTGTAAGCATATTCAGAGCACTTTTTAAAAATATAGAGACTTCTACAGGACGTCCCCAAAAGAAGTTACACATCAAAGATGTGTTTTTTTTTAATAAACACCCTATATATTAACTGATTTTTGGATTCTAGGAGAAAAATAAAGGTGAGTTTTATTAGGAAAGTATATGCTGAAATGTAAGGTTTTAAAACAAAAAAAAATCTTAGAAATTGTGTTGAAGGGTAAGCAACCTTAATAATATCTTGAAGACCTATGAATTCTCCATTGAACACCGGAATAATATACTGGGTGTTCCATTTAAAATAAAGGAGTAACTTGCTGTTAAAATTCACCGTTCAATATTAGTTTTGTCTAACCCTGTATAACTTTTCGGGTAAAATTTGGTTTTGGTTTAATATGCAGTGGTTATTGTATTTAAATATCAGGCTATACAGAGTATATTACAATTTAGATAGCTGTTATTGAAACTTAATATTTATTCTTCATTTTCACAAAACGTGAAATATGTCAAAATCCTTACATTTTATGTATATGCTTCTTTAATAAAACTCACCTTTATTTTTTTTCTAAAATCCGAAAATCATGTAATATATAGGGTGTTCCATTACAAAAAACACAACTTTGATGTGTAACCTATTTTGGGGACACCCTGTAGAAGTCTCTATATTTTTAAAAAGTGCTATGAATTAACTTACATACGCTAACAAAATTTCACTTCAATATAAACTACCGTTCTTCTTGGAGCCTGTACAATTAAAGATATTTTAAAGCTTACAATTTAGAAAATTATAATTAGGCATGTAAACTACTACTACTATAATTGAAATATTCAAATGTAATAAATTTATAAGATATAATTTTTCGTCATAATCTCATATTTTTATATTATTATGAATGATACAAGAAAAATCAAATTTCTTGTGTAATTTGTTGAGTTATTGTGTTTTTTCTGTTCATTTATCTTCATATACACAAATTCTTTAATACATTCAAATAATTTAAGGTTTGCATAATAAAACTGTACAGAATATTTATGTGTAAATATATATCGTAATAAAATGTAATTTTTTGTCACAAATTGGTTGGTTGGCTAATTTCGTGTAAGATATTATTTATCAAAATTTTGACTACATTTCTGTTCACGGTGTCAAAGTCTTAGAATTTGATTTAGAAAGTGAAAAAGATGAAATGTTTAAAAAGAAGGGTTTACATTTTTAATATATTTTATAGCTCTAATAAAGCTTCAATTAAAATATAAATTACTAAATCACGAAACTATCAAAATACATATATTTACTCATATGTTAGGATTGTATAAAGTGACCTCTGAATTACAGGGTGATCAATTTAAAAAAAATCCCTATCCACTCACACTTTTTTAAACCACTCTATAGAAGTTAAAATTTTTCCTGAAATACATCCTTGTACATACTTTGTTGTTAGGTTTGCATTTAAACAAAATTCCCAAGTTTTTTATTCTAGGAGATACAGAGGCCCGATGCACTATTGCTATTATATTATTCCAATAATTATATATTATAGTATATTATTCCCAATTAATTCTCCTAATATATGTTAAAAAATGTCATGTAAGTAATTTAATGGAATTGTTAAGAGAGGGTAAAGAAAGCAAATAAAACACTGAAAAAATTGACTAAATAATTAATCACTTATAAATATTATTAACAAACATAATACCCATTATACAGGGTGGCCCATCGAAAACGTTCCACAAGGCATAACGGCCAGGGTAATTTTTTTTTTCAGAAAATTCAAAAACACGTCAATTTTGTTTGTGAGGGGGACAATTTTGGGTCAAGTTTCGTTTAGCCGAAATCTGTTAAAAAAGAAAAAAACTTTCTTTTGCCATTTAGGTACCTCAGGGAGTATATTACTGAAAAAAATTTGCCGCGGAAATGCGTCACCATTTTTTGAATGCGGTTTAAAAGTAACGAAATGACATACATGAAAAATTAATATTATTTCATATTTTAGACGTCTTTGTAAATACTAATACGAAAATAAAATTCCGCGGAAATGCTCTGTTGCCATTTTTTTGAATACGGTTTAGAAGTAACGAAATGAGATAAATAAAAAAATTATATTATTTTATATTGTAGACTTATTTTTAAGCACCGATACAAAAATGAAAATCCGCGGGAATGCCTTGTTTCACCACTATGCAGTGTTCTTCTTCCCGACCTTTGACACAGATCAATGAATAATATCTATTCTTATCAACTTAATATCGCTATGGTCAATAAATGCGAAAATTAAAAAAAAATTGTCAATAAAGCATAAAAACGACGACTAAACCAAACTAAACCCTAAAAAAACAACCAAAACAAATAAACCCACTACAACAAAACCAACTACAACCAAACGAAACCAAACCGAAAGTATGCAAAAAAGTTGAGAATACTATGAAAAACTTTATGAGAATACTATAGAATACTATGGAAAATATTGAAGATTTTCTATTACACCGCCCTTATGATAAATTTCCGCGGAAATAGTTATATAGAAAAGTTATAGCAAATTACTAATCAAACAAGAATATGTAATATTTATCTTCCTATCACATTTAGGCACTTCTAAACCCGAAATTGAAATTTGAAAAGTTTATTTAAACATTTATCAGAGTAAATGATAAGGATAAATTCCTTCGGCCAATTTGCTGTTTTTTCTTATTATTTCTAGATGTTTACGCATTTTTTCACTTGCCACAAGGATGAACGATCGGGTTAGGTAGAGTGTACTTTCTTTTTGAAATGTGTAGTTAATCGGCACAACTGTCGGTACTGGGCTGAAGACAACCACAGGGTTTTTCACGAGGTGCACACACAAAACCCTAAGAAATTGAACGTGTGGGCTGGTATTTTTAGAAATTCTATTGTGAGTCCTTTTTTTCTTCCTGAAAATCTAACAGGTGATATGTAGATACTTGGATTTACTGGAAAATACCATCGACCCAGCCCTAACTGACATCATAGAGAACAATCCTGGGTACGTTAAAGCGGAACTAATAT